CTAATGCATATTTCAAGGGTTAATCTTTGGGGATTTCTTCATGTTAAACCAATGATGCTACATAAGATGGCACTTTCATACCATGATAGCTTCATGATAGCTTCATGATAGCTTCACCATTTCTTTACAAACCATGTAACAAATTGATAAATAAAGTAAAATAATTGCTGAAAAAAATGGAAAGCCGAAAGCATCAAAGCTAAAACCAATTAACTATTTTGCGTGAAGTAATTTTGTAACATTAAAAACACTAAAAGCTAGATAGACCCTTTTACCACTAGCTATTGCCAGAAAAAACCCAAAATTAGAGAGATGTCAAAGACGCATTTGAACATTTTGTTATAAACTAACCAGATTCAATAGGCAAAGCTCCTAATTTTCCATATAAACTCAATCAAGACTAATGAACTGAATCATACTGAAGAATCCCTTTATCTCTAACTTTGTTATGAACTGAATATTATAATGGTACAACTAATATGCATTTAGAAGTATATTTAGATTCTAATAAATTAAAATAAAGGTGGTATGCAAATACAACTATTCATGTGGCTATCATCTAACTAAACCCAAGAACACTGAACCTTTCTAAAATCTCAATTATCTTAGCAAATGATGCTATGCCCTGAAAGCTATAGGTCAAACCTCTGTCATGCTACTCTAGCCTACAAACCCAATACAAGTCAAGACTCCATGTGCTCGTTTCTATGAAATAAAATTAGCATATGTTATAAGAAAGTTTAACTGAAACTAATCTCAAAAAAATAAAAATAAAAATAAATAAATACCTTGTATTTTAGGTCATTGAGAGCATCAATCACTTTGGCACTACCAACTAACTTGATATGAATTTCATTGGATTTAGCAGGATCATCCCATAAATTATAGACATAGATCATTTCCTCTTATTTGATTTGTCTAGCTTCTTCAAATTCCAGGGCAGTTGGTGCTAACAACTCTGCACAGAGAATTACATCTTCAATCTTTTCAATGAAAACAAACCTAAACCATTTGAATTAACATATCCAATTTCAAGTGAGAAAGGACGATAAAGATGTAAAAGATTCGAAAAGATAAACAACTGCAAAAGAATTTGTTAAAACTCGTGGCTTATTCTCAAGAATAATCATTTTGAAAACACAATATCTTGACCAATATTTATTAGATAGATTATGATGAAGAATTGGGAAAATAAAATTGGCAAAATTTGAAATCAGCAGATGAATGTAAATTTCCAATGCATTGGAAATATAAGACAAAAGTGACGTCTTAAGTGAGGCTTTTGATAACAAAATAGGCAAACCAATAGTTTAATTGATATGCAGCATACAAAAAATTTTGGAAATATGGTAGACAATAAATAGTGAAATGCATTCCCCAAATAGGAAAAAGTAGATAACCAAAGGAGATACACGAGCATTGTTTAGATGTACCAAAAGAAAAGATGAGTTGAACAAATCAACATTATACTGAAGTTAAAACAACAGAACATAACATAAATGCGGAGAACATCAAAACTAACCTTACAATGGAAGCTGGATAAGAAATCAATAAAATGCAATAAATTGAAATAGATTAAGGGGGAAAAAAAGAGCAAAACTTACCTGGATGAGATCAAACTCGATTTGGGCTTTGATCAACCTTGACAAAGTTGGCATCTCAGGCCTTGAGCATCCACGAAAACAACACGATCGTCAGACTTGGGAGGTTAAACACTATGGTGGAAGGGATCGAGCGACGATTTTGAAAGTCAAGTTGGGATTTGACGATCGAGGATAAAGACTAATGCCAGGCCATGGACTTTGTAGATACTTAGGTTTAAGAGATGATTGGGGTTTCAATTTGTTTCCTGATTGAGAGGCCACGAGACATGTTGAATAGACTGGAGAA